CATATCAAACGGCGCAGCGCCAGCATCAACTTACACAGACAAGGTATAAAACCATAAATCGTGTTGTGCGCGCGGGCGGAGCGCGTAGTTGAGGCGCAATTCTTGTGTTTGACAAAACCATTGTTATAACATAGACAGGGCGGTGTGATATTTTTAGTTGAATCAAGCGTTGGGTTCCGCGCATGGAGTATTATTATACTGATGATATTAGCGGTACGACTATACTACTACGTCTACACAAACTACATACGTTTGCCATCACTACTGTAGACTACTGCTACTGCTGCTGCTACTGCTGCTACTACTAGTACTACTACTACTACTACTACTACTACTACTACTACTACTACTATACTACTACTACTACTACTACTATACTACTACTACTACTACTACTACTACTACTACTACTACTACTACTACTGCTACTACTACTACTACTACTATTACTATTACTACTAATGCTCCTGCTGCTACAACAACAACAACTACTACTACTACTACAGCTACTGCTGTTACAATTTCTACTACTACTACTACTACATCTTTTTCTGCTACTCCTATTACTACTACTGATACTACTACAACTACTACTACAACTACTACTGATAATAGTACTACTGATACTGCTACTGCTGAATCTTACTACTACTACTACTACTACTACTACTACTACTACTTATACGAATACTACTACTACTACTACTACTACTACTGCGACTATATTACTACTAGTACTACTACGACTACATATTACTATTACTACCAATGTTATTGCTATAACGACTACTACTACTACTACTACTACTACTACTACTATTACTACTACTGCTACTACTGCTACTGCTGCTGCTGCAGCTACTGCTACGAATATTTCTACTAGTACGAGTACTCCTACTACTACTACTACTACTACTACTACTAGTATTACTACTACTACGACAATATTATCACTACTAATACTACTACTACTATCTATTTCTATCTACTACACCATATATATGGTTTATTCTATACCATATACAACTATTGCGTCTACTATTATTTCTACTACTACTACTACTGCTACTACTACTACTGCTACTACGTAAGCTACTGCGTTTACTACTATACTACTACTACTACTACTACCACTACTACTACTACTACTACTACTACTACTACTACTACTATCACTACTACCACTATTACTACTACTACTACTATTACTACTACTACGGCTAATACTACTAGTGGTAATACCGCTAGCATGCGTTGTTTCTACTAGTATTATACCACACGCTACGATTACTACTACCACTACTACTACTACTACGACGACTACTACTACTACAACTACTACTACTGTTACTACTACAAATACTACAACTACTACTATTACTACCACTACTGCTACTACTACTACTACCAGTCTTCCAAATCCTGCTTACACCCCTACTACTAATACTGTTACTACTATACTACTACTACTATTACGTTACTCATCCCACTGTTATTTCCACTAATATTGCTACCTCGCCTGCTACTGCTACTACTACTGGTGATGCTACTACTATATGAATGTTGCTGCTACTACTACGACTACTACTACTGATACTGCTGCTACTACTACTACTGCTACGACTACGGCTTCTACTACGACTGCGATGACTAGGACTACGGCGATTGCGACTACGA